TAACATCACAGGACCAGGGCAGACAGAACGGGTTCAGATAACTGTGTATGACAGCACAGGGCGGGAACAAGTCATCTAGGGGTGTAACATCACAGGGCCAGGGCAGACAGAACGGGTTCAGATAACTGTGTATGACAGCACAGGGCGGGAACAAGTTTTTTAGGGGTGTGCCATCACAGGACCAGGGCAGACATAACGGGTTCAGATAACTGTGTATGACAGCACGGCCGGAACAAGTTATCTAGGGGTGTAACATCACAGGACCAGGGCAGACAGAACGGATTCAGATAACACTGTATGACAGCAGGGCGGGAACAAGTTATCTAGGGGTGTGACATCACAGGGCTGTGATTTTCAAGGCACGTCAGCATGATTGAACTGCACCTGAGCGAAACTTGTAATGTCTTGTGCATAGCACTTCGACATCACATATAAGGTTATATTCGCAATATACATAAGTTTAACATTCCACTTACAATTTTTCCAAATGTTATGTCAGAAAAGACTTCCTCTGCAACAGGCAACAGGCAAAATTCTAATGCAACCAATGACCTAACCATGGGAAAAAGTAAAACATGTGTAACCTCTTTTTCAATGTCATTCAGCACCAAGGACAGAGACTAACAGTTTCTAATCAACACAATAAACATATGTTTCTTTAACACAAGGAATAGGGGCAACAATGTCAAATCTTACATTTCCAATCATGTTCAAGGCACCAACTTCTTTTATAACTGAAGTAGTTAGTTAGTCCAGGAAGTTGCTTTACCAGTGCTGACGTACATTGTGCCTACAGTTCGTTACCCTGAAGCCAACAACAAATAATCCATCAGCAAAGGACCGACTGATTAGGTCCCAGAACCTCATCCTGACTACAACATCCTTTGATAACCTCAAAAAGCTCAACGATCATCAATCTAAACGAATGTGTTTACTAGTGCTCCACTGACGTACGTTGTACCCATAGCTTGTAACCCTGAAGCTAACAACAGATCCTCCATCAGCAAAGACATGACTGATTAGGCCACAGAACCTCAACCTGAGTACAACACCCTTTCATGACCTCAAAAATCTCCTTAACGACGAACAATCTAAATGAAAATGTTTACTAGTGCTTCACAGACGTACGTAATGTCATCCACAACTAATGCTTAATGAATGTGTTTATCAGTGCTTCACTGACGTACATTGTACCCACAACTTGTTACCTTGAAGCCAACAACAGATCCTCCATCAGCAAAGGACCGATTAATTAGGCTAAGCAGCCTCATTTAAACCAATCCGTCAACCTTGATGGACAAAATTGACAAAATTGGGTAAAAGTATTTAAAAAATCCAAAGGACCACCAACAACCATTCTTAACCCCATGATTTGCCTCTAAAAATGTGGGAAATTGCATTTTTAAAGGCTTGAAAATCCAACATTCACCCCCCCCCGATCACTCTCCCCCCAGGTCTGAACTCGAACCTGGACTGACGGAAAATGTTTTTGCACTTGCTAGAGCCTTGCGTTGTACCCACTGCTTGTTACCCTGAAGCCCACAACAAATCTTCCATCAGCCAAGACCTGTCACTGATCAGACCAAGCTACCTCATACTGAGTACAACACCCTTTGATAACCCTATGAAGATCCTTAACAATGATCAATCTAAATGAAAATGTTTACTAGTGCCTCACTGACCTACGCCGTACCCATGGCTTGTTACCCTGAAACCAACAACAAATCCACCATCAGCCAAGACATGACTGATTAGGCCACAGAACCTCAACCTGAGTACAACACCCTTTCATAACCAAATGAAGCTTCTTAATGATGATCAATCTAAATGAAAATGTTTACTAGTGCTTCACTGACCTACGTCATATCCACGGCTTGTTACCTTGAAGCCAGTAACAAATCCTCCATCAGCCAAGACTGATTAGGCCCTGGAACCTCATCCTGACTACAACATCCTTTGATAGATAACCTCAAAAAGCTCAACGATGATCAATCTAAACGAATGTGTTTACTAGTGCTTCACTGACCTACGTCATATCCATGGTTTGTTACCCTGAAGCCAACAGCAAAACCTTCATCAGCCAAGGACCGACTGATTAGGCCCCAGAACCTCATCCTGAGTACAACACCCTTTCATAACCTTACAAAGCTCCTAAACGATGATCAATCTATAGTATTAACGAATATGTTTACTACGTACTGCTTCACTGTACTGACATATGTTTTACCCATGGCTTGTTACCCTGAAGGCAACAACAAATCCACCATCAGCAAAGGACCGACTGATTAGGCCCTGGAACCTCATCCTGAGTACAACACCCTTTCATAACCTTAGAAAGCTCATTTATGACGATCTAAACAAATGTGTTTACTAGTGCTTCACTGACGTACGCTGTTCACTACAGCTTGTTACCTTGAAGCCAGTAACAAATCCTCCATCAGCCAAGACTGATTAGGCCACAGAACCTCATCCTGAGTACAACATCCTTTGATAGATAACCTCAAAAAGCTCAACGATGATCAATCTAAACGAATGTGTTTACTAGTGCTTCACTGACGTACGCTGTTAACCATAGTTTGTTACCTTGAAGCCAGTAACAAATCCTCCATCAGCCAAGACTGATTAGGCCACAGAACCTCAGTCTGACTACAACATCCTTTGATAACCTCAAAAAGCTCAACGATGAATCTAAACGAATGTGTTTACTAGTGCTTCACTGACATACGCTGTTAACCATAGTTTGTTACCTTGAAGCCAGTAACAAATCCTCCATCAGCCAAGACTGATTAGGCCACAGAGCCTCATCCTGAGTACATTACACCCTTTCATAACCCCAGAAAGCTCCTTAACGATGATCTATCTAAACGAATGTTTTTACTAGTGCTTCACTATAGTGACGTACGTTGTTAACCACAGTTTGTTAGTATACCCTGAAGCCAACAACAATCCCTCCATCAGCCAAGGACCAGGGCTGATTAGGCCCCAGAACCTCATCCTGAGTACAACACCCTTTGATAACCCTAGAAAGCTCCTTAACGATGATCAATCTAAACGAATGTGTTTACTAGTGCTTCACTGATGTACATTGTATCCACAACTAATGCTACCTTGAAGGCCAACAACAAATAATCCATCAGCAAAGGCCCGACTGATTAGGTCCTAGAACCTCAGTCTGACTACAACATCCTTTGATAACCTCAAAAAGCTCAACGATAATCAATCTAAACGAGTGTGTTTACTAGTGCTTCACTGACGTACAGAGTACGTTGTTAACCACAATTTGTTACCTTGAAGCCAGTAACAAATCCTCCATCAGCCAAGGACCGACTGATTAGGCCCCGCAACCTCAGATTGAGTACAACACCCTTTCATAACCTTAGAAGGCTCCTTAACGATGATCAATCTAAACCAATGTGCTCTACTGACGTTCGCCGAGCTTGTTAACCCTGAACCCACGACAAAACCTAAGTCGACAAAGGTACCATAGATCAGGCTCTGGCATAGGAAAAAAATGTCGTGTTTCCTGTCTCCTGACCGACTCTAGAAAAACCTGCCGACCCTAGCTTATTTTGGGGTGGACCCCTGCAAGGGACATAAATAACATTAAATTTTTTGAGCTGGTCGACCTTTTCTAACTCCATGATCTGACACCTGAGTGATAAAATGTTGTACAATCGGTTTTCTAACATTGACATTGAAAATAAAAGTGTTCTCATGCAACTTTTACTTTGTTAAACTGTATTGTACAAATTAATGTATAAGTTGGATCACTATATAGATATCACTGAAGTCTAAAAAAAAAAAAGATAATCCCTTCCCATCAAGCGTAATTTTTTTCAGGACTGAAACAGGAAACGCAACATTTTTTTTCCTAGGCCTGATCTTGTTAACCCTGAACCCACGACCAAACCTACGTCGACAAAGGAGCCATTGATCAGGCTCAGACTTCCTCAGGCAACGTCCTCCAATAACACCTTAACCTTGACAACATCCTTGAAGGCGTCTTCCTTACATCTGAGAAATCGTCTTGAGTGATGACGCAGGCAACTTGGGAACCCAAGGAGACCGAACAACCATACCAGCATTACAGGCAGTGGGAACCCAAGTCAGTGGTAGAAATACTATCAATGTGCAGACATATTATCAGTGTGCTACAATATTGCAGAATGTCAAAATAAAAGTCCAGATCTAAACCCATGGCATATACAATTATACTGCATGATGGCTAATATTTGACATGCAATTTGATAGATAAATGTACATGGAAAATTACTTCTATAGTATAGAGTCAGTAGTAAACACAAAAGCTCGATCTTAAAGGCCATTGAACCACTAGCCTGATTTTCTAAGCCTGCAAAATTACAAATTTTTCTGCATTGTTAAAAATATCTCTGCAAAATGCAGATGGGTATATCTCTAACACTAACAGGACTTGGAATACTTTCTAATTTTTCCTAGCTCCCTGCACTGGTGCTTGTAACATTGAAAATTACCTGCACAAGACAAATTTTACCTGCACCACTCAGAGCTTAGGCCAGCACATGGACCAGTGCAGTACAGTTAGTAGAACTTCTACTAGAAGTAGTAGTAGTAGAATGGTTTATTACAAAAAACAAGAAATAATGTACACACAAGCCTCCTGGCAGCTATGATGGCTGAATTGCGAGGCTTATTCTAACATCATGTTGCAACAAACTACATACATTCATAAAATTTAAAACTATAGTTAAATTTAAAAGTGAATATTAGTTTAAAATCGACAGGAGCATTAAGTTGCATATTACATCTTCAATACAATGTAGCCTGCCCAACTAACCTGCAAATGAACCCAGTATTTTTAGCCCTGCATTAACCAAGGACAGAGAATGTGGGAGGGCCATTATCAGGTATGATTAAACGTGGGCGTGCTCACTTCCTCATAAATGTCAAAAAAATCTACCACGCTACATTTCTTAATGAAGTATGACAACGTAAATGCACATTATCACCTTCTGAATTGTTTAATGCTAGAAACACAATACAAAGAAAAAATGGGTCAAGTATATGAATGTACTAAAAATGAAGTACTAAAAACTCTTTAGAAACCACCGCCATTATTTCTTTTATATACTTTATAGGTGGAACAGTCAATGCAAGAAATAAAAATCCACATGCACCTAGACATCAGAAATACCTGCACACAGAATTTTACCTGCAAAATGCAGGTAATATTTTGAGCCCTAAATATCTATGATAACTTTAAATAAGGCACCAAGAGTTAAATACACACAGAGACAATTTGACTCTAAACTGAACCAAGTGCAAATCAGCACCAAGAGAACACGTGTAGCATTAGATATTAGACATTTAACAAGAACAACATAAACATAAACACACAAAGTAGAAATGGTTTGCAAATGCATCATGTTTACCTTCTCGATAATATTGGTCCAGCTTAACAAACTCCTGCTTTGTTTATTCTTACTCAAATATATTATATATATGGTGAATTTGCAGCCCCTCTTAAACTCAGTTCTGCATGGCACTTGCAACATTATTTAACCCTCTTGTCCTGCTCATTGACCTTATTTGTTTGGAGAAGAAGAGGAAGAAGATACAGAGCAAAAACAGTATGTTTTCCTTCTGCAAAGGTAAACATAATCATAAAAGTCTCACCGTGTTGATGACATGAATGTTGTTCTCAGACACCCCGAGTGCAGCAGCGAAGCCTGACTTGATGCGGGAGGACAGGGACTGGTTGGCAGGGAGTTTGGCTGTACTGGAGACAGTCTGGGAAAAAAAGGTACACATTCATTTTCTGATCTGTTGTTACTTTTACTCAGCCTGTCACATGTACATATACGGTTTTGCCATCTGGGCTTCTTCAAGTGTACAGTAGCTAAATGATACATTAGCAGTGTTCAAAATACCTGTCTGCAGTCTGCAATCTGCAGATAGATTTTCAAGATTGCAGAAGAAAAATTTATACAATCTGCAATTTTGCAACTGGAAAAATTGGCACTTGGGATTTGACGCTTTTGGCCCCAAGGACAGACAACACTTAAGCTCCTGTTTTGAAACAACAGGAGCTTCTTCACTAATTTGCATCAACCATGTCTTGACTTGTTTATCTTTTGTTTCCTTTTGGACTTCCAAAAATTTGTCTTCACTAATTTGCATATGAATCAATAGTTCATGCTTATAAACCTGCAAGATTGTAGTATGGAGGCTTGTGTATTTGCAGAAAGTATTTCCAAATTGCAGAACAAAATTTTTACTCTTCTGCAATATTGCAGAGCGCTGAAAAAAAGTATTTCGACCACTGCATTAGTTATAAAAGTTCTCACTTATACCTTTCCAGTGCCTAACACCTAGCTGGCAGTGCATGATAACAGTACTCACAACATTTAGATCATGGTACATTCTGTAACTTTAAGTTGAACTTCTAACTCGAAATTTCCATGAATAGTTTCATCAGGTTAGCAAGTCACTTGAGTAAAGAGACTCTTTTATACAACCAAGTGTTTTCTTCACAGCAAATGTTTCAGTGACCGTCTACCACCTTCCTCAGGGCAATTCTGACTGGTTCACATTGCATGGTTGCATGCATCTATAGCAGCGACACCTGTGCTGCAATGCAATGTGAACCAGTCAGAATTGTGCTGAGGAAGGTGACAGTCACCAAAACGTTGGCTCACTGCAGTACATCTAAAGATCACATTTGGTTGTAAAAAAAAGAGTCTCTTTACCTACTGAGTAACTCCTAACTTCTTGTTAGAAGTACAATGTAACAGTACAGGGAGATGAGGCTGCACATCCTGAGTGATGTTCCCTGACGTAAGATTCGCCTGTAACGCATGAGGAGCCGGCGGGCCGGGAACTCACATTTGTTATTATGTTGCTAAAGAAATACTTAACAAACTGTAGTTACAACATTTGATTGGGAGGTAGTTCTTACTTTTTGTGAAACAAGGCTGCACACCCTGAGTGATGTTCCCTGACGTAAGATTCGCCTGTAACACATGAGGAACCGGCGGGCCGGGAACTCATTTGTTCCAGCTGGCTCTCCCAGACTCCCTCCCTCCCCCGCACACCAGCCCTCCCCCGCACACCCACAAGCTCATTAGAACCTGCTGACTTCGAGCACACGGGGTGCAGGGCTCGAAACCATAATACGAAAATTCGCTTTTTCACACACCCACTTCGTCATTAGTACCAGGGTACGGTACGGGGCTGGAAATGCATTACCTCGGTCCATGAAAAATGTTTTAGGTTTGTCCATGTGTGTGTGTGTCAGTGTGTGTCTCTGTGTGTCTGTGTGTGTGTCTTTGTGTGTCTGTGTGGGTGCATGTGTGCAGGTGGCTACATTACACTGAACAACCTACTACACCCAATCTTGCAACCAACATTACAATTTACAGGCTAGGGAGGAAGAATGAGGGTAGACAACTAAAAAGATGGAAGGATAATATCAGAAAATAAACAGGCATGCAGAACAACAGGAAACCGAGAAGAGTGGAGAAAGGGACTAAGGGATAGATGAGAGAGATTTGGAGCCCTGAGTCCCACACAGGGACACGTGCTACAGTGCAAACTGCCGCGCAGACCAGCCAAGTGTGAATGGCACAGCGGTGCGGAATTGCAAACAAGGCTGCATCAACTGACTCTGTTGTTTCACATGCTTTCAAAAGAAATGATTATTCTGGTGTGTTACGCCGAAAGGTGGTTATACTGGCTATACAGATACAGATACGTGTACAGATTAAAAGGAAAGAAATTCATTTAAGGCGAATGGGTACTTACATGTAATTATAAGATGATACAATTTTGAAACTGTGGAAACTGGCATGAAAGTGGTGACTTAAATAGTAAAATTAATGTTCCTATTGAACTGTCCATGAATGAAAAGAACATTAAGGAATAGCCATGCCTTCAAGTACCAGATTTATTAACCAAGGATTGAGGTGTTCAGAATCTCATTCTTTCCTTAGAACTATCACAAATTGAAGTCTCTGTCACCAAGTACAGTAGGGGCATCATCATTGAATAGCTTTAAACAAAGTTTAAGGGTTAGGTCTAACAAGTTTTTTTTTTTTTTTTTT